TCACCTGGCCCCCACCCCGTGGGGGGCTACCAGGGGGGTGTGCAGATGAAGAGCCCCGAGGTGGAGGGGCCTGGGAGCAATGGGCAGGCACCTGAGGAGAGCATGTACTGCAAGGAGCTGCAGAAGCACGGTAGGAGGAGGCTGGGGTGGAGTGGGGGCTGGGGGGCATCACTTAGGAGAGGTGGCATGGTCAGGGACATCACTCTCCTCCATGCCCAGGGTTGATGTAGGAGGGTGGATGGGGATACTGCTTCTGGAGGTAATGTCCTTGTCCTGCTTTGCCCCCCCAGCCCAGCTCTGCCAGCTGTGGATGCTGGCACTGGCCCGTCGCAATGCCCATGCCCTGCTCGACTACTCGGTCACCGCTGACCCCCGTGTGCTGCTGGCAGTCCAGAGGCACCTGGCTGCATCACAGGACGAGAATGGAGACACGTGAGCACACAAGGGGTTTGGGGAGAGAGTGTTGGAGCCTTGTTGGCCATTAGAGCCATTATGGGGGCTGTGGGAGGTGGCAGGAAGGACCTGGAGAAGCATGGAGCTGAGCCAGGGGCCATCCTGCTCTCTCTGCAGGCCTTTGCACCTTGCTATTATCCATGAGCAGACAGCTGTGATCAAGCAGCTGATCGAGGTCGTTGTTAGCATCCCAAGCCTGGGTATCATCAACATCTCCAACAACCTGCAGCAGGTACGTGTTTCCCAGAGCAGCTGGTTCTCTACACGGGGCTCACCCCTGTTTCACCCTGTCCGCTGCTGGTCTCACTGAAAGGAGGCTGCAGGGCTGAGCACAGTGCAACCATGGTGATGAGGACCTCAGTGCAGGACCTGGCTCCTCTTGTGAGTGATGCTGAGGGGGTGCTGCTGTCCTACAGACACCACTGCATCTGGCAGTCATCACCAAGCAGCCCCAAGTGGTCCAGCTCCTGCTGCAAGCCCATGCTGACCCCACCTTGCTGGACCGCTACGGCAATTCCCTGCTGCACTTGGCACTCCAGGCTGGCAATGAGGAGGTGCTGAGGACACTGCTGGCCCACTTGGGCTCGGCTACCCCTTACCTGCTCCAGCTGCCCAATTTCCATGGTGAGTGGGGCTTTGAGATGATGGGCAGCAGCCTGGCAGTGCTGTCAAGGGCTCAGCTGGTGAGCTGCTGAGCCTCTGCCCCTGTTGCAGGCCTCCTGCCTGTGCATTTGGCTGTGAAGGCAAAGAGTCTGGCCTGCCTGGACTTGCTGGTCAGGAAGGGAGCGGATGTGAACGCGGTGGAGAGGCAGGGTGGGAGGACCCCTCTGCACCTGGCTGTGGAGATGGAGAACCTCAACATGGCCACCCACCTGGTGAAGAAGGTATGGGTCTGGTGGGCTGCTGGCTGTGGATGGGGATGAAGCGCAGCCTCTTGCAGGGCCCTGGCAGAAGTGGGGGGTCCCCTGGGATCTTGGGCTGACACAGGCGGTAGTGGGGCAGCACCCAGGCAGCCCATGCTCCGAACCTCGCACCTCTCTCCATAGCTGGGAGCAGACGTCAACAGACGGACTTTTGCCGGGAACACCCCCCTGCACCTGGCTGCTGGCCTGGGCTCTCCCACCCTCACCAAGCTGCTTCTCAAAGCTGGTAAGGCGCTGCCTTCCCTCCTCTCTGTGCACCAGGGGGTGCCCAGGCACAGGGCAGACCCCTGGGCCGACCTCCCCTGTTGGGGGCTTAGTCCACCCTTCCCTGACAGGGGCGGACGTGCTATGTGAGAATGACGAGCCTGTGAGCCCGTCCTCATCAGAAGCCAGCAGCGAACCAGACGCCGACTCCCAGGCACAGGAACACGGGAGTTGGCCCCAGCCGTGGAGCGCAGCACCAACCCTGAGCCCCCTGTGCAGGGTCACGGGCAGGCAGGGCACAGGCTGCGCCGCTGCCACGCGCCCCTGGACCTCACTCGGAGCCAGAAGGTGTGTGTGGGACACAGTGTGTGGCACAGTGGGACAAACCGCCAGGAGCCTTTCTGTGGGGCCAAAGCACAAATGGGGCAGAGCACAAAGAGATGCTCCTGGGAGGATGCATGTGCCTTTCCACATCCCGGGGAGAGCTGTGGGGAGGCGAGAGGGGGTTGGTTGGTGTATTGGGGGATGTTGACCTCCATCTGTCT